ACCACTTGACATGATGTTTCTATATTTCATCTTGACTTGCTGCGACGAACGCTTTCCACTACTATTGCATTTTAAATCGGATCAGTTATTGTTAACATTAGGTTTCATTATGAGTAACATAGGCTATATTAATGCGGGACTTCAGGGAGCATTATATTACTTAGCAGCATATAATAGGTGACTTCTGAATTGTGTCGCATCTGTTAGCCTCTGTATTTATTAACAGTATTTCAATTCTTTTCAGAAAACACTACATTGTCTAATACTCGGGATATTTTAGACCACGCTTTATGACCGTGAAAATGTACGTATGCATTTTCATTGTCGTCAATACGTTGCCAACAAGCCTGCCTGCTTTTGTTACCTGCAGTGGTATTGGACTTTCTTTAAAGGGTTGATTTAAACTCCTCATAACGCTGCATAATTAGCATGCAGTCTTCCTCCGTGAAACATATGGAGATCACGCTATGAGTCAAACGGTGCCTTGCGTTGCCGAACGTGCTCCATACAGTATATGTGAACGCGCACAAACTCCAATGCAGTTAACACCGATTTAACAAATCAACTTCTTAACTGGCGTCGTAGTACTGATTAGCCCCGATGGAGTCAACATGATTTTGTTAACCTCGCGTTCGCAAATTACCTCGGGGTTAAGTCTGATTTGGTTAAACCCCCTTCGTAGTACAGGCCACTGTTCTGTTCCCTAGTGGTTTGTTGATTGTTATGGTGATTGATTGTCTTAAATTTTGTGAGGTTGATCTGTATTCTGCTTACCTGCCCAGTTTTTGTTATTTGTGATTTGTAGTTTTTGTTATTTGTGATTTGTAGTTTTTGTTTATCCCCTTTAGTTTTTGACCCCACATGGTCCTTTGTTTTGTTAGTTCTTTCTTGTGTTTTTAGTTCAGTTAAATAAACCCTGTTTGTTTTCTTGGATCCGCCAGTGGGTCATTCACCTTTTTTATGCCCTGGTCATGCCACGTTCCCGCACCTTAGCTGCCCGGATCCTTGACATTGCAACAATGTGCTTTTAAAAATTTCCCATGCCTCTTCAACAGTTTTGCTATTTAACTCCATTGAACTTACAGTTTCTAGTTTCGGTCTCAAACCATTAGCCTTCCCAGCATTGTATATTTTTGTTTTGGACTTTGCTCTTCGGACACTAAAATTAACCTCAAATTTAACCATGTTATAATCAGTAACGTCCAGTAGTTCTAATACTTCTAATTTTCCAATTCTATCCTGGTTATTAGAGAAAATAAGATCAAGAAGGGCTTCTCCTATGGAAGGGGTATTAATAAACTGAGTAAAAAAACAATCCTGTACTAATTCCACCATCTCAAGTTCATTTACAGAAGAGCTAGAGACTATGTGCCCCTGTATCCTAGGTAAATTAAAATCACCCATAATCACCACATCATTTTTATTACTCATAATCCAGAAATCGTCATGTAACACAGCTGGTTATGTTCCTAAAGAAATAATATATCAACAGTAATTCTTAATGGTAGAGGTGAACTGCAGTCTTGTGGTCAGATGAAGCTTGTCACCATTTTTTTATTGTCTGGAAGAAGTGAGAAGAGCATTACATTATTTCTAGCAGCCAGATGACTCAGGTCTCTACTGGCTGTGAATCAAGTGGGCGGGACTTTCTCACAGAAAGCCAGGTGTAGGCCTGTGTGAACCTTAACTTTTTATGAGAGAAGCTGGCAGGTGACTATGAGAATGCTTCAAGACAAACATTTCTTTATTGCTTTGAGGAAAACTATAAATAGGGTTCTTACACAAAAGTATAGCAGTATTTCACTTCCAACTTCAAGTTTGAACAATGCCCTGATAAGAGTCAGTGATCTTTACTTTCATTTGACCATTGTTCTGTGTCAGGACACATTCTGGGAATATGCGAGGAAATGGAGGTGTGTTTGTTTGAGAATGTTGCCAGTGATTCAGGGATCATTGTGGGGGTGGGGGGTTTCTGCACCTGTCATTTGAAACCTGTCCACACATGCTTGCCATTTGTGACCTACCTGCCATCTCTGCACAGAATGTTAAGCAAGACTGGGAAGAGATTGTGGATGTCAGTGGGTGTTTGTGTATTTTACCCTGAACAGAAGATTATACTTATTTAAAAAAAAATATGTTGACTTGCAAGCATATGATTTTAATATTGTTTTACATGATGATTACATCTGATATTCATTTGTCTTATTTATTTATGTATTTAAAAACAAGCTTTATCTCACATTTATCTACATTTGGAAAATAGTTTTACGTATCATAGTTCAACATCCAAACAAGCCCTTTTTATGGCCTCTAGGATAATCACAGTTTATAGTTTAAGTTTGTCTGTGGGTGCAATGATGTCAGACTAATGGGTCTTTTCAGCAAGGATAAATATTCAGATGTTTCAGCAGCAGAAATCTCCGGATGGCCTGTGATGTATCTCTCAGTGAGGCTTTGGTCCGTGGAGGTTCTGGCTTGGGACTGTGATTTTATGCTGCTGTTTTTTAGTTTGCGAATCTATGCCTGTGTGCTGACAGCCAGTTCCTGGTACAGGAGACTCTGTGGCACCAGCCATGTTCTCATAGATAGCGATGGTTTATTATCAGTCCCAGAAGAACTCGGAGCAGCTTGTTGTCATGGGGGTCACATTGTCAGGCCTCGGGTACTTGCAGAAACCAAATACGGTCTCCATGGCTACGGCAGTGACTGGCCAAACGCCATCTCTTGGGTTGGACAGTGCTAGATAAGCAGAATGAACAGCCACAGTGTAAAATGAAACCTTTAATGTTAAATTAATCTGAGTTTATGTTTTTTTTTTTTTTTACCTTTTACAGACTACTAAATATTTTAGTGAAAGAATGAAGAGTTTGACAATAAGTCTCAGTGGATGGCACTTGACGATCCTGCCTTTCTTTCTACTGAGTGAGCACACTGTCACTCTTAGCCTGTGGTGCTGTCTGCTCATACAAATGTGGCCTACTTCCCTAGCCATTGACACAAATCTATAAATATCACAGTCTGACCATATCCTTAGAGAAAAGGACTCACTTTGACAATGCAACAGGAAATGTACAGGAAAATGCCCACTGGGTAGGTACCTGAGCTCTCTGAAGTATGATTGTGTAACTTCATGCTTAAAATTATTTTAAAATGGGTATGTTCTCGCTTTCATAGCTTTTGACTAAAGGGAATGTTAATGTAAAGTGTAAGCCATTTTAATGCTTATTAATGATTAAGGCTCAATGGTCATAATCGGTGTGGATTGCTGCATTGAATGGCTGTATTGGATCTTTGGGTTTTTATGCTTTTCTGTGGTGTGGCCCAAGGTGAGCACTTTCCCTAAGACATAATATGGTTTTCAGGCTTGACGCCTGTCTCTTATCTGATTGTCCCACTGCCGTGTTGGAAGACAAACCTCTGTGCTATGTGCTTTTAATTATGTAAGCACCTGCCTGTTCTTTATAGAGCTCACTATTTATTACAATGAAGGCTAACCCTGCATTTCTTGTGAAGGCAGTTGCACTGCTGAGAGTAGAAGCACCCCCCCTCCCCCATGAAGAATCCTCTTCAGCTTGTTTGCCATTTCATTCTCTCCACTACATCTTATCTTAACCTCCACAGAAAGTCATTGACAAATAATAGTACGATATGAGAGCTGGCCCATAGTGAAGGTGTGGTACAGTGGGACAAAGGGTTGTTTCCAAGTGAGTGCCCCCTGTTGGTGTCCTTTGGGGTTGTTTGCAGTATAATTATTTTGAGCTTTCATACACCTTTAAAAAAAGAATTTGAACAGACATTACCCAATGCAAGAGACCTCTTCCAGGGAGAGGAATAAGTATGGCAAATTACAGCTACTTCTATTCGCTGAGTTAAATAATATTCAATAGAAAACTAGAGTATCACTTGAGATTTTTGTTGGTTGCATATTGCAGATCCAAGATCATTTGTTTGACATTTTTATCATCTTCTGGTCAGCAACTCAGTATAAAGAGGTTCCTGTCTCCTTGGACGCAGTCTCACGGCTTGTCTGTACCTCCCTCAGGTGACGTGTCATACGAGGTGCAGTGGTATTTGAGCTCCCACCATGCTTCAACTGGTGCTACCCTGCTGGCCAGCATGGACCGCTGGGGTGTGGTGAGGAAGAGCCCCAGGAACAGCAGCAGTGACTGCAGCCTGGAGCGGGCAGATGCCCAGACATTCAGGCTTAGTGTCCACCAAACACAGGACTTGGACGCTGGTGAATACCACTGCAGAGCCACACCCTGGCTGCGATCACCTGCCGGCACCTGGACCAGGGGCAGTGAGCTCACCTCCACTAGGATCTTCCTCATTGTCCGTTTTGCTTGTAAGTATAACCGTGCCTGCATTTGCAAATGTGTTTGCAATAGGCAGTGTGTACTTGTACTCTGTTACTGTGTAGTAATACAGTCGACCCTTGCATATTGAGGGGGTTAGCGGCACAGGCCCCCCACAATCTGGAAAAACCTTATAAAATTTTTTTTGGTCCCCTTGGTGAGTCAAATGAGCATGCGAGTAGGGCACAGAAAAGCGTTTTGGATTTTTGTGCAGATTAGGGCACTAAAAAGACACAAAATTATACAAGAAACACAAGATACGTAGATCACTGCGAGATATCACACCAGAAGCTGCCGCAAATACGTTTGTCCTCCTCCAGACTAGCTTTGAACATAGATTGTATGATTTATGATTTGCTAAATGTTTTGTGTGCCATCAGTTGGCCTTCGTGTGTTGTCTGTGGCTTTCACAAAAATTCAAGAAATTCCCAAAAATGCCCATTTAATATCCTGTGGTGACCCCACAATATGTCAAAACCATGATGGGGAACATCGCAAAGCAGAAGGGTCGAATGTACAGTACTTAGTTTTTTCCTATGTGTCCATGCCTCAATAGCAGTCTCTGCAATTTCTAAGTAAGTTAGCCTGAAATGTGGGTGTGTGCATGTGCTTGGGATGCATGAGGCTGGCCTCTGTTAAGCTAATTGCCTGTGTGTCCGTGATTTCAGTGTGGGACTCCATGAAGTTGCCCCTGCTCTATGGGCTTGGGGCCACCCTAGCGGTCGGCCTTTTCTCCCTTCTGCTAGGCCTTATGTGTGCCCACTGCTGGTGCCGGAATACTTCACGCACGCCTCACCGCCCATGCAACAACCTCATTGCCCTGGAAATGGATTAAGAGGAACTGCCTCCAAATCAGCAACAAAAGCTCAATAGCATCATCCCACACATTGTCTGAAACTCTGCAGCAGAGTAACATGGAAAACTTGGGCTAGGCCTGCCACCAGGGGCGGATTAACGCACAGGCTAGATATGGCTTAAGCCTAGGGGCCCCACGTGTGCCAGCCTGCAAGGGGGCCCCCATTGGCGCGGAGCGGGGCTGGGTTGGGGGGCCCACAGACTACTGTAGCCTAGGGGCCTCCGTACACCTTAATCCGCCCCTGCCTGCCACTGTCAGAATGATTTACTAATCATATGGATATTAGGTGATGCCTTCTGCCTTTACTCTATGTAATACAGAGATGACTCTGCTACAGACTTTTAATGAAAGGAGGGAGGAGTTGAAGCCTGATCTGGTGAAAGTGCTGATTTGTGCCAACTCTCTCCCACTACTCAGAGCACTATGCTGATGATCTTATAACTTTACTAAAGTCTTAGCGTAGCATTTGCTCCGATGATGAAGGAATATCCATCGAAACATAGCCTCTGCTCAAGTCCACACAGATTCCCAAATGGTTTAATTCCACAAGACAAAGATAGAAATAAAGATAACAAATTCAAGGACAGTCACTGAGCTTACTGATTTCCATAGGGGGCACTGCTCTGTTCTACTTGGGCTGTTGGCAGAATGAGCAAAGTACACGTACTAGAGTATAGGCCTGTGGCACAAGCTGAAATGTGTGCATCAGTGCACACATGCTACACGCTGGCACCACACATACACAGACTGTGCCAGCACCAGGTGAGTTCCTGTCAGCCTCTCCGGAGCCAAAGACTGCTTTTATGGCGGCCTTTTTATGTGTGATTGAGTTGACTGTTCTGTATTTTTGTTAGTCTCATTGTTTTATCATCTTCTGGTTTGCAACTCAGTGTAAGGTTTTCTCTTTTATTTTATGAATCATAAATAAATATTGAAGATTTTTTTCTTAGGATTTTGTACCTGAACTTGTGTTTTTTCTACCTCTTGGGAGATTCAGCTGCCTTTTTTGTTTGCTTGCTTGTTTTTTTGTAGACTTTGTCAAATAATCTTCACTCAGTATGCTCTCAGAAATTGATATCACAATACAGAAAATTTTCTCATTAATTTAGTTTTATTAGGGAGCTTAATGTATGCTAAACATGTCAGGAAAACATCTGTATGTTGGTTACTAGCATATTAACGGTTAAGCTTTCAAGTTCTGTTAAATTTAGTTTTTGTTTCTGTCATTAAAAAAGACATTTTAAACGTGCTAACTGTGTTCTGATTTGCTTTGGAAATAGAAATAACATTTAACTAAAATTACTATGCTTTATTTCTGGTTGGAGGTAGGTCCCCTTGAAAAATCCCTCCCATGAACTGAATCTATAATCTTTCTTTAAATATACTGATCAACTTTTTTTTGTTATATAATTCAAAATAATTGAATCCTACAGTATTGTTTGTGCTGAGTTCAAAACTCCAAATCTCAAATCAGAATTTACCTATCACGCACGGATTTTGAGTAACACACAATTAAACCTTACACTATACGAATAGTAGTGGTCAAAAATCATCAAGGAAACTAACAAACATCATACATTGGACAATTAAATACGTAACTGGAGCGACAATTGAATAAAGTTCTCTAAAAATTGGAAATGTTTCTATAATTTTGGCCACTAGTATCTACAGTAGATGTGGAAGTGAGTCATCTTAAAGACAGAAGTGTATGATTTTCTGCTGTACTTGGTTTCAGGAACATTCCCCTTTAAGGGCCCAGCAGAAATCAGCGAGCATACTGGGGCCCATACATTCTGAAAGTTATTCTTGATTGCTTTGGAGCATTTCTCAAATGACAATTAACATTTGCAACAAGTGTAATTTCCACACCATACTGTCACTTTCATACAGCAGATCATAATTTTTCATTGCTTCGCACAAATTTCCAAATGTTTTAGTACGTAAATTCGAATGGTTTTGTACAACTATCATCATTTCGCGTACTTTTCAGATGCTTTAGTCTTGTTGGTCAAAACAGGTTATGTCTTTTCCCATTGTAATAATTTAACACCTAAAATTGTGATCATCGTGTTAGCCACCCCATGCAAAACAGTCAACCTAGCTTTCAAAATTATATTTAAATATAATCCATAAATTGCGTTATATGGCATTGTTGTGTTTTTGGTTTCCACAGTACATGATTTTGTTGTTCTTGTATTGCCATTTTGATATTTTTGTGTTACAGAGTGCTGTGTGACTTTTTTGTTTGCTATTGTACTGTGTCTTGAGATCTGGAAAATACATGAAAGTGCTTTGTTTTACAATTTTTCTCAATCGCTTTGGTGAATTTCTCAGATCAGAATTGAAATTCTCAAAACTACTTGTTCAAACTCCATATCTGATTATTAGTTGTGCACATCATAACAGCAAATTCCCATTGTTTTGAACAAATAGCAAATGCTTTGTACATCCATGCAACTGATTGTGTACAATTGTCTGCTGTTTTTTCCGTTCTCATTTGCTTTTGTCATCAAAATTCGTTATGTTCGTTCGCTGTTAATCAGTCCTTCCACTCAAAACATCTACTCATTATATCATTGTTTTAGTCATTCTGTGCAAAAATGATGAACTAGTTGTCATAATGTGTCTAGCATATTTATTTAGTATTATGTATTTGGTAAATCTGAAATTTATAACAGTATTGAGTAATTGGTCTCAGGTGACACTTAACCTATAATCATGAGGCATTAGCTGAACCAACGATCAACCAATTTTCTACAATTGTTCAGAGGTGAATTCCATGAACCTTCAATTTACTGTAGCATATACAGTACATGTACTGTATACAAAGCATAACAGAGATTACTGAAACATTTTCCTACATGGTAATGGACCAACCACAAGCTAATGAACAGGCACAACAGCCTGGAAGAAGGTGAGTTAGGATGCTTGGTACTGTAGAAGAATAAGGAGACAAAATAGCGGTAGAGGAAGAGGGGCCAAGTACACAGGGTTGTTTCTGATGAAATAAGGGTCACCATTGTGGACCACATTGTCAATCATGTTCTCACAATGGCTGAGGCTGGTCAAAGGGTACAGCCAAATATTGGGCGAACTATTGTGTCCTCAATCATACAATCATTTGTATGATTGAGAACAGGAGGGTACTATGTTACGACCGGCTCAAAGCCGCAACAAATCAAATGGGGCAGACGCATAAGTAACATTGTGAGTTAAAAGGGTTTTAATGAAATAACAAAAGAAAGTAGAATATAACACAAGCCCAACATAAAAGAAAAAGTTATGGCAGGCCATGGCATCCACGACTCAACCCAGGAAACCGCAGCCGGCAGCAGCTCCCGGCAGCCAAAGGTGCAGACCAGCCTCCAACAAGTGCAGCAACACAGAAAACAAAAGAAAAGGGGGAAAAAGTTAACAAACTGCAGGGTCTTTAAATGATTGCCCAGGTGCACAGGGCCCAGGTGCGCCTGGTCAATCAGATTAGACCCCGCCCACAATCACCTAAAACAATAACAAAACCCATAGACCACAGGCTAAGAAAGCCAGGGTCGTCACACCCCCCTCCATAAAAAAAAACAAAACCCAAAGGGGAACTTCTGTTTCCCCAAATCACCTACTCACCCAATCACACAGGGGCACGAGACAAGGCATCAGCCATTACATTGTCAGATCCCCTAATGTGGTGGATACGCAAGCAATATGACTGCAGAAAAAGGGACCAACGGACCAACCTTTGATTGGGGCACGTCAGCGAGTTCAAAAATGTCAAGGGATTATGATCCGTGTAGACATCAATGGGGTAACCTGACCCCAAATACACCTGAAAAAAACCCAAAGCCCACACCAAAGCCAAAGCTTCCTTTTCGATGACGGAGTAGTTAAATTGATGCTTGTTAAATTTCCTAGAAAAATAACAAACAGGCTTACTCACCCCATGGTCATCCAACTGAAGCAGCACAGCCCCTGCACCCACCTGACTGGCGTCCACCTGTAGCTGGAACGGTTTGTCAAGCTGAGGAGCTGCCAGCACTGGTGCAGAGCACAATAAAGACTTTACATTATCAAATGCCTGCTGACAATCTAAACCCCAGGTGAATTTCCTACTGCCCTTTAACAAATTGGTCAGGGGGGCTACGACAGACGAAAAATTCTTACAAAAACCACGGTAGTATCCTACCAAACCGAGGAAGCGCATGAGCTCCCTCTTAGTTGACGGTGGTGGACACTGCTGCACAGCCAACACTTTAGCCTGTAAGGGTCTGACCTTACCCTGCCCCACTATCTTTCCCAAATAGGTGACAGTGGCTTTGGCGAACTCACACTTCGCTAAATTGACAGGATTGGACACAGGTTTGGGAGGACTTCTCCCTTGCATTGACTATCGAGTCCTCAACACCATCTCCGTGAAAAGATGGGGACCCCTGCTGCTGATCCCATCAGCACT